ATACATAAATACAGGTCAAATTGAGAACCTACTTTTTTTGAATTTGGTTAAAAATAATATACTTCTTGCTAGTTAGAAACAGTTATTGCTTCCAAGACAAGTGTAGATAGTGTATGCAAAAAAGAGAAAATCTTCTGATGTTAATGAGAGTGGTGCCTTTCTTGTATGCCGTTACTTCCTTGCAATGAATTCCATTTGGAAACCTGTACTGATTTTTTTTACGTATTTGATGGGCCGACGTTTGACCACTATCTCGCCTGGTGGTCGATGATGCGGTCTACGATGGAGCACGACGTCCCATAAGCAACGTACTCCCTCGTTACCCTTCAGGACATATACGACTCTGGCGAAGAATTATACTCCATAGCAGTACGCACAAGGAAACTTGATGCGAAGCGCTTAGTAGATTGTTATATTCTGTTTAAAATTGCTAAGTTCTGCCAGTTAAGCGTGGCAATTAATACTCATGCCTTACCGTGTACAGATCACCCATATCTAACAACGGCTCCTGCACGGCATAATTTCGAATTTGCCTACCGCTAGCCGCCAGCGCTTCGCCGGTAAGCGCGCCGACCGCGCGATGGAAGCTTTATTGTATTGACGTTATGAAATAATATCATACGACATACGATTTAAAGGTCATATTTAAATGACAACTTAATTGCTGGGTTGGAGCCGTGCTTGTTGGGTGTGTGTCCTTAAGACCAGTCTGCCCAGTAATAGAACAGGTTAATTAATGTTATTACAAGTACCTCATGAGTGATATCTCCAGCAGCCATCATGTAGGAACCAGTGAGTATTATCAGAACCATGATGTACGCAAAGTTGGCGATAAGGTACGTCAATGTGCGCTCTGCAACCTGGAAAGATTTTTGGGCTTTAATTCTCAAACAATACCAAGGATAGTGTGTTAAAAATAGAGTAGATGCTCTTGCTCTCAAAGTGCCCAAGACACATTGGGCTAGATACAAACATATACACTGTTGTTTATGTTACATTTTTTATGGGATAAGCCGGTAAACGAGCAGATAGATCACCTGATGGTAAGCAATCGGCGTCGCTCATGGACACCCGGAACACCAGAGGCGTTACAAGTGCTTCACCGGCCTTTTTGGAATTAGGAATTTAAGAATTATTTGGCTATGAGGGATTGCGGAGTGGGGGGGAATAATTGGGTCTCCGGTAACCCCACTCACACCACCAAACACAACGCAAGCGTTATTTCACATCGGTTTTCTGTGAGGACGTGGTATCACTCCGGTCAAACCAATACAATTGTACCGAAACAGGACTCTCCCATTCTTACATCATTTAAACGAGACAAATGTGAGACAATTTAGAGAATTAAGCCTCTTATGTTTTAATAAAATTAGCCTTTACAATAATTCAGTCCCCGGGGACTCAGTAGATGACATATGTACATTTCAAATTAGTACCTAGTAAAGTGACTGCACGGTTGGTGCGGTGGCTGGACAACCGGCTGCCGTGCAACGTGTCGCGGGTTCGATTCCCGCACGGGACAACACTTTGTGTGATCCACAAATTGTTGTTTCGGGTCTGGGTGTCTGTTGTGTGTGTGAACTTGTATTTTTGTAAACGCACCCACGACACAGGAGAAAATCCTAGTGTGGGGCAACGTTTAAAAAAAAAATAAAAAAAATTATACTTTGTCTAAATTATACAAACCACCATTTTGATGAGACACATGACTAGTAGAGCTACGCTTTCCATCACCTGGATACTGTATAGAGGTCCCATCGACTGCTGGACATTGCGGGCACACCTGTAAATTGGGTTCAGTTAAAACAGAATTTAAGACATTTTTCTTAATTAGAATGTTTTAATTTCTTTATCAGAAACACTTTAAGCACAAAAAATAAAATATCTACGCAAATAGGATAATGCTTTTTCATCATGTCTAGACAGTGAAGATGGCAAAACATTACTAGGTCTGGTTAATATAATGCCAATGTCAACAAAAAGAAATCGTAGAATAAAGAAAGAAACATACCACAAAGCATCAACATGCAACTTGATCCCAACCACAAACCCTTTCTTAAACTCTTCATTAAGTTGTTCTCTCGTCTTCTTTCCTCTATGCTCCATAATCCTGGTCCTGAGCTCTCGGAAATACAACCTTAGCACCCTGAACTTATGGCCTACAGTCAGTAGGGAACACAGGGCCAGGCAGTCCATAGTCGCCATCATAGCAACTATGCTGTACCAATGGAACTCAATGAAGAACCGGAGAACGTTGATAAAGAAACCTGTCTCTGAACGATTGGGGAAGTAAACTACTTCTGTACGAATTGGAATGTCTGGAATATAGTAGAAATGGTTAAAAGCATATTTAGACATGAAATCTAGTCTCAGTTGTAAAAACCTTCCATAGCAAAGTGTATTTCAATTCCTTAGGATTTCAGAGAAAAGTTGAACCGATCTTGTAGGGATTTTATTCTCAGATTGCAGGTTGATCTCGTTTTCAAATTCGGGAAGATTACAAGATTCGAATATCAGAATTATCTCCAAATACGAAGTTTTGAGAGAATAGTAACGGGACGTTACAGCGTTATAAAAACATAATAAAGCTTCTTACTTGTAAGTGTTGACATAATTTTTAAACAAATCAGACATAGTAAAAAACTTACCTTCAATAAAATGCAGCCTAATTCCTTCAATAGTGGCTGAGCACAGCGTCACATACGAAGCGCTGGTAAGTGAGAAACAGTGTCTGCTGAACTGCTTGACAGACAGACGCTCCAACTCTAGAGAATGGAATATAGGCCTGGAACCTTCTAGCAGACGCTCCATCACCACCTTGATGCGGTCTTTCCAGATGTACAGAGTGAGGACCTTACAGTAGATGAGTGGATGAGCAAAAGAGAATTGAACCAGGTCATTTTTTTCCCTATCGGTCAAATCGGTGCGAGCGTAAGACAAGAGCTCGTCCAACAGAATAATGATAATATACCCATTAGCTATGATCCTCCAGGCAGTATACACCTTCTTGCTGATGTAAGAAGCACCATTCTCTTCGTACCAAAGGTCCCCCATACCCAAATAAAACATGAACTTGCATAGTGCTTTAAAATAATATTTCTGCGGGTGAGTTTTCTTCAACGAAGGCACGTCCATTCCGGTAATTTTTAAAATCAAAATGTTCCAAAGTTTTAATCGTTCCCTATTCGAAGGGGTATGATTAATTGAAACTGGTCTTTTTGACTTTAAAACTCAATTACACAAATTGATTAATTCGTTCGTTAAATGGTATAGTTTCCTTTGATAAATGGCTCCATAGTTGTGAATAGATTTATTAGTTGTTACGTATGAACAAAGTTATTGAAACCTTCAGTCACAATTTTCTGAACTGGAAAAAATATTGATTCAGAAATTAAAAGCATTTTTGTTAGTAAAACTAAGGCAGTTTCTTATCGTCAAAATTTTCGTTCACTTAATGAGATAATCAAAATGTACCTAGCGGAAAATCTCTGGGGCCAGTGTTCATAATTTCACGAGAAATTTCGATTTATATTAAAGACTGCTTTAATTAGTCTCAAGTAATTAATTCGCTACATTTTTAATGTTCTTTAGGAATGCGATCAAAGTTAATTACTTACATATTATTGCTAATCTTTTGATATTTAAATGTTTATTAGACTCCATAATCGCGGATTTGATTCAAACTCACTCAGAGTGTCATTAATAGATCTTTTTATACGACATCAGGATTTATGAAAGTTTGAACTGAGTCACATATAATTAACGAATTTCAATGTCCTACCAATTTTTAACAGAAGCATTGAACTTTGTCATTCAGACAATTCTTTCGTCGACAAAAATCATTTTTATTATGACCGTTTTATATGAAATAGTCCACCGTTCCATATTCCCGGGGACTCTTGCTCGCCGGATCTGATGCAAATTGAAGTGTCTAAGAATTTAAATCCCTATGAATTTTAAAATATACACAGCGCTCAGGTGCGGAAGTGAAATTATTTAGCTATGGAAATGTGACATTAGTTCTCAATGCATTTTGTACAAACACAAGAATCAGTTTTGAGGGAATATTTTTTGCACACAACATGACATGCAACGACTAGTATTTATTTATTAACAATTATTTATAATGAAAATTAGAGACAAATTGTAATAATAAAGAGAATTGAGAATGATATTAAACAATAGATACATTATTCAATATACAATACTAGCTTTTACCCGCGGCTTCACTCGCGTCACAAAAGAATAAAAGTAGTCTATGTGACATATACCAATACACACAGCGCCATCTACACCAATTCTTTTGTTTTCCCTCGGGAATATTAAAATTTTCCGGGATAAAAATTACCCTATTATTTATTCCGGACTTCTAACTTTACGCCTGCAAAAATTCAAAGCAATCGGTTTAGAAGTTACGGCTTGAAAGCGGAACAAACAAACAAAAAAACTCACTTTCCCATTTATAAAGGATTGTCCTCATCATCGGACCGATGAAATAACAATTTCTTAGATATTAATATTTTTAAATTTGTGAAGCGAGGTATTGTGGATATCAGGCACGCCCATGTCACTAGAGTAGCTCGTTGTACTTGCGACACATCCTTAATACAGGATTGTGAGACGATACATTGTTGTTGCACATTGGCAAAGAGAAAAACATCTCGCGTCTAACAGATCTGGTAGGTGAATCTGCGATAATAAGCTCGTGGCAAAAATCCCATTCATAATTTTAAACAAATATACCAAATCCTAGGACCGCCTAATCCCCTTTATAAGCCATACCTTTGTGACATGAAGCGCACAAAAATAAATACGTAACGTTATAAATACGTAACTGCAAATAAGACATTAGGTTTAAGTTTAAATTTAAATGTTTAACCATTTACAGGCCATGAAGACTAGCCACATGAGGTTTATAGTGCATATATTCTGCTAAAACAAAAATGGTAAGTCATTATATATCGAATTAACAAATGCATTTATGAAAAAATACTCTTTATTCTTACAAACTGAACAGTTAACAAAAACAATGTTAATTCTAACTCTAACTAACAACCGAAAAATCGGTTCAAAATTAATGAAATTCCACATTCTACAAATAACATGCAACTTAACACATTTCAATAATTATCTCTATTGAAATAACTGCATTCTTAATCACTTGGTAACAAATTTAGTACAGAAAAACAACATTCGTTTTATACAAATCCCAATAAAAAACAAAACATTAACATAAGTTACAAATAAAATGCCAGCAAATATATTTGGTATTTAACCTGCTCGCATATTTCCTAAGGACTATCATCAGACAAACAACTAATTTCAACACATTTTTACGTATCTTAACTTGTAATAATATGTTGCAGTCAAAATATGTTTTATTTTCTTAAATGAAAATGTCATCAAAAATTGTAGAAACAAACGACACAGGTACGTTACTTAAGTTCAAAGCATATTACATTGAAATTCTAATACATAAACCGTCCATAACTGATTCTGTGCGTAGCCCTTAAGAGATACATCATAATATTACCGTACTATCTGAATCATACCCCAAATCCGTTTCAGTGTTATGATCCCTATTATTCTTAATATCTACCTTTGGTCGCTTTCTCTTATGTTTATTTTGATCAGAGCTAACTGCTCTTTTAGGGGGCACAGATTTACTGTCTTTTAATGTCCTTTTGTTATATTCCTCTAAAGAAATCTTCTTCGCTGCAGCCTGTCTTCTATTGTCAGCTATGTTTAATGCACCACTTTTTCTTTTATTACTTTTAGCGCAATCGGTCTTTTTCATTGGGACTTTTGAAATACGATTTCTTTTTGTCAACTCTGTAGACGCAGTTGTTACCTTAGGACTCACTTGATTCAAAACTTTATGATATGTCGGTATTGGCAAAATTGGTGGCGAATATCCTTTATACTGCTTGGTTTGCATGTTAATATTATCCATTGATAGTTTCAGACCTTCAGATGCTCCCCGGTTTTTTGACATTATTGCCACTTCCATTGATTTTTCAACATTAGTACCATTAATCACTCTGTCATCACCTACTTTGCTACTCATATCTTCACCTGGTATTAACATTTTTTCTAATTTCTGTATATTATTTGTGTGTACAGCTGGAGATATTTTAGAAACTACATTTTTATTTTTTATCAATTCATGGGGATCAGCGTTGCTTGATTTGGGTCCACCGGCAATATTAATTTTTTTCACTAGACCTTCGTTATTTACGCCTATTATAGAACCGTTATTGTTATTACTAGGCTGCAGAGAACGCACACAATCTTGAGAGTCAGAACTAGGTGGTTGATTCGGCTGTACTATTGGGGTACTAAAAGATGAATTGGAATAAGACTGTTTTGTTTGATAGATATAAGGCGGTGGAACATACGTAGGCGGTGGAACGTACATTGGTGGTGGAGGGGGAGGTAATGGAAGCAACGTTCGATTTATATAAAAGCTTGAAACTGGATTGGCCTGTTGATAAGTTTTATTGGAAAGACGGCACTGGCTTAGACTGATTGGTTGGCATTGATTAAATGAATTTGGAAAATTATTTCGTTGGTTATCCAACGTAGTAGAGTTGTAAATATTAGGAACGCGAGAGTCCTGACACTGCGGTTGCGGATTTTGAAATATTCTAGGCATTTGTGCACCTGTGGAATGAACAAGATGCTCTGGTTTACTGCCGACTGGCATGTCACAAATACTTTTTAAAATTTTAATTGATGCATTATGATTCTGAATATTGTTATTAGAATTATTTTTGTGATACACTTTCTTTGACAAAGAATGAACAATATACTGAGGTTTGAGACAATCATTTGTAGTAGGATAGTGATTTTCTGATATGGACGAATTTGTTTTACTTGAAGTTTCGACCATGGCTGAAGAAAACACGTCAGAATTACTAACTATGTTAGTATTTTGTTTTGTAACTTCTAGATTTAAATTACGGTTTGAATTTATCTTAGAAGTCATCGAATATTTGCTTTGATTTAACAATTGAGCATTATCTATTGTTGTTACATGTTTTGTCTTATTGGAATCAGTGTTAGGAGTTATAATCTTATGATTATTTAATTCTGTAATTGGTTTTGCAGTAAGAACTATATTTGAAGGAATCGAAGCTTCAATATCATTTGCATTTGGTTGCATACATTGAGGTTTATTTAATTTACCAGGTCTAAATGCATTCTTATTGTGATCATTATAATATTTCATAGATTTGTCTAATTTGTGTAAAAGTTTTTCGCTGATGACACTATTTGGAGATCCTACTTTGTCTTTGGTCTCTTTCGTTGAAGAACTTTTTGTAGGAAGTTCCCAAGGTTTTGAAACTGCAGAACCTACATTGGGAGGAATTTTATTTAACATTTTTAGCTTGTTAACTATTTTATCTAATTTTTGCTGTGGTTTTGTATTTACATTTTTGCGTTTGACGAGAGAAGGTATTTCAGGTTTAGGTTTAGGCTTAAGTTTCTTTGAGGTAGTGCATTTTAGTATTGGAGATTTGGGTTCTTCCTTTTTATTATCACTTTGTTTACTGCCACTCTGTTCACCACAATTCTCCTCTAATTCAGTAATTTTACTAGTGTTCGGTGAAATCTGGTTGGACTCTAACATTCCTATTATAATTTTATTACTAACTTTGTTCTTAATCTTTATTTGATCATTCTTGTATTTGTTACATTTTTTTATGTCTTTTACGTCGCAGGTAGACTTACTTGAAGACTTCTTAAATACAGTGGATGTAGGCACTTTTTTACTTAATTCATGCGCAGGAAATATCTTTGGATGTTCATTTTGGTCTTTATTATTATGATCCTTAATCTTATTTTCTTTGAAATTATTAAAAAATTCAAGTATTTTATTATTGCTAAAATGTACGGGCACGGACAAAGAATTACTAGGCTTTTCGTTATATCCTAATTGACAAGAAGAACGCATATCTTCTTTATGAAGCATCGCCTGTTTCACCTCTTTCTTGATTTTTCTAACTGCACATGCATCTTGCTTTATTGTTTTAAACTTTTTCTGGGAAATTTTCATACCGATAAGTCCTACATTTCGCTTTAAATCAACTTGGACTAATTTTCGATACTTTAATGCTGTTTGCAGCTCTTTGTCGAATTTAAAATGTTTGTCTAGTTCTTTGTCACTTACACTCTTGTATTTTGGATGTAGATCTTCAACGATAAAACAGTCACTTGAATCTGAATCACAATGTTCAACATCTATAATGTCATGTTCAGTTTCATTTTCAAACTGATTTCGGCCAGTTTTTTGTAATAATCGTGCAGTGTATTTTCTAAAGTACCACGGAAATTTAACACAGTCGACTAATTTAATAAACATGGGAGAAATAGTACACTCACTGTTACTTTCGTTGTATCTTTGAGTGATTTCATTATTAAGTCCATGTGTTAAATTATCTGTAGGAAACTTCCAGTTGATATCTCCAGAGCCTGTAAAAAAATATTAATATTAAGCCAAATAGTATTAACTATAAAGGAACAAATACAAGTATTAATACTGCTCAATTTAACAAATATTTGATCAACAATGTTTATTTATTGTCGGATAGGGCAGCAATCGGCACCGTCTATGGGCACCACAAAAGAGCCACAAGTGCGTTGACGGTTTTTAGGGGATTTTGGAATTGGCGATAGAAAGAAGATTGGACTGCTGATAACCTCAATCACATGACTCCATTAGTCACATACGTCACACACACAACGCCAGTGTTATTTCACGCCAGATTTCTGTGATTTGTTGGGTATTTGAGGCCGTAGTAACTGCTATTGAGCATTCGTGCTAAAGTCTGACTCTCACATGTGAAAATTCATACAATATAATATGATACATGCATTTAAAGAACAAAATACATGTTGTTATATGATGCTGGTTGTAAACACTTACCAATTAATTGCACCTGATTGCCAAAGTGGACGGCGTTGTTAATACCAATAGGTAACAATTTAATAGGGTCATCACAATTCTCGTCATCCGTGTCATCCAAGTGGGAAATCATTTTGCAGTTATCTGTGGACAAAACACGTGAATGCCTGAAATGATGTTTTTTATGAAATCATTTTCATACCCTGTAAAGTATATTACATCAAAACTGACCAACTATATTTGTTTTATTACAAATACAGAATCCCTTTGCTTTTGTGTAATACACATGTCGCAGAATCAACAAAGATTCACAACTATCGAGTATCGTTATTTTAGAACAACGCCATCTGTTATCATTTGTCGGAAACGTCAAGCGGTGTGCTTGGGTGATGGTCGGTACGGGGCGTGGCATGTTGGCATTTTGAAAGGCGTCACTTTTGAGTTGGACACGAGGGTGAGCCGTTGTTCTGCCAGCCCGTACCGAACTTACCGCGTTTACGAAGAATCCGATGACGAAGTACCCCCAATTGGTGCATTTTCTCCGACACACATAATAATAAAACTTGATAAAATATTAATAACAATATTTGTGACATTTTTAGTTTAAGCTTTATAACATTACTCGTCTGTATTATATTGCATGAAGATATCGTATATACGACTAACTAATAATGAATGCCAATTTTCCTAAATCGTGATGCGTGCATGCGTGAATGCTGGACTTGCTGCACATGGACACCTGGAACACTAGAGGCGTTATAAGTGCGTTACACCAGCCTTTTGGGGATTAGGAATTTGACGATTGTTTGGGATGCAGGGATTTGGGAGATTGGGGACGGGTAGTAATTAGGCCTCCGATAACTTTACAACGCAAGCGTTCTTTCACGCCGGTTTTCTGTGAGGCCGTGGTATTACTCCGGTCGACCCGGCGTAGCCTATTGGTGACAAAGCATGGCTATCCCCACAGAACATATAGAGAAGGCTTATCATAACATATCTTCTTTATAATGTTCTGTGGCTATCCCACACTTAAAAAAATTGTGCGGGTATAAATTTGTACGTATAAATATGGGACCATATCATAATCTTGTTCTAGTGGTCAACAATGAAGTTACCGAACATTGTATTGAAGTGCTGCACAATGCGCTGACCGTACAATGTACCGTACAAAATACCCACTAATTGGGTTCCTGCGAACCCTGTTCGATGTTCGTTAGTAGTGTCGAGCAAAACTTCGTCACGCAACGTGCAACGCGACGTATTTGTTCCTACGTGTCGGACGTGACATGTCAACCTAATGGTCAATGGTTAGATCCACCACAACGCTGGACAGAGTGGCGAAAACCTACCCAATTATAATGGTATTGCTTAACGTGGTCAGGGCGGGGCATCCAATATCGTAAAGTTTGAATAACAGTGATAATTCTTAGGGAAGTATTCTGCCTGACCAAGTATACTTAGTAGTACCTCCATCTTCACGAGGCTCATTTCCAGACACGGAGATCGAATTAAAACAATTGTATAAACGACAAAACATGTCATAAGGACTCGAATCGAGTAAAAAGTCTTCTCAAATGTCAAACACCTACCTACATACATATAATATCAGTGGCGTGCACACCATACATGCAAATAAGCACTGCATACCCTACAAAATCATGGTAAACCTACATAGTCAAATACATAGTGTCACTCATAAACACGACATGAATATTCTCTAACATCATACAGAGATTTCGTAATTTTATTGATACTTAATTTGGAAAACTGGTAACTAACGCCATCTATCGAAAAAATATTGAAGTACTACGACCACTTTCTACTTTCTTCGATATATTGAAGCATTACGCCAGTGGCGCCGCCACCTCGCTATTGTGTGATGGTGGCGGAAGCATGTACTAATGCGTAGCCGGTACAATTTGCTTGTTTTCTCGTGCTGATGTTGGATTTTTTTTTTGTTAGGTTGGTAATTTCTATACAACTGCAAAAGCACTGCTTCTTTGGTATCCGACTAATTTAAGAAGTCAACAAAACGTAGCGTTTGTTGATTGAAAATAGATATATTAATTTTGGTCAACTTATTGTTTACGTTTTTTTTGGCCATTTTGTTTTGGTTATGTTTTTATGTGCAAGTGAATAAATTGTAATGTAATGAATTATAATTTAAATGAACTGTTAATTTACCGAAAATTATGTAAAATTATAGCTGTGAGCTCTGTGCTGGTGATTTGTGTTGTTCAATAAATTAAATATGAGTGCGTTGTCCTTATTGTCGTTCGAAGAAGAAACGAAAATATTTCCAAAGGCGATTTTGCGTGTGTCGTATGTCCGGGCTAGGCGTAACTCAAAAAAGGTAATAATTTTATTATTTCTTTTAATAAACTACGATTTGCGATTATACGTATAGTTTGTTAGCACTGGTTGTGTACCAATTTCATTATTGTTTTTAAAATCCAGTCATCTTGATCTCGCTTTGTACGATTTCTCTATGAATTTAACGGTCAGTTTATACTGGTGTCGTATAGCTTGATGTGTAGCCATTTGTACTTCGCCGCTCCAAAGTAGGTACCTAGTTAGATTTGTAAAATAGATACCTAGGTATTTATGTTTATCAACTTTATACACGGATAGTTTGAAAATAATTATATACCTAATTTGTTTATACAAATTAATAAAATACTTACTAAACCTAATTACCTACTCAAAATTATGATGTTTCGGGATTTTTATTTTCCGACATTAATGTAGACCAAATTTTTTTAAATCATGCCTTCTGCCTACCCTACTTCAAATCTCTGTGCACGCCCCTGTATAATATGTAATTGCACATTTAACATCAGCAATTCTGCATGTATTCTAGGAATAAAACACGTGATGTTATGAAGCGCAATACAAATATCAGATGACTGGCTTACACCAAGACTTTCTGCACTTACATACATACACAGATTCATATTACAAAGCAGAACAACATTATACAGTAGAACAATATTATCTTCGATTCTGTAATGTAAAAAAAACAATACAAGTTTTTTTAACCTATAAAAAGAAAAACAGGATGTTCTCAGTTTGACCTTTTTTTGAGGGGGGAAATCATCCAATGACTTCTCTCGCCCGGGTGAGGCGAGAGGGAGTGTCACTCTTACTGACTAAAAACCACCCCGTTCTTAGTGCCCCGGTAACTTTAGAGGAGGTGACGGCATCCCATTCCCCCTCGCTCCGTACCATGGTCTAAACCAGGGCCGGACACGAGAGGTCGCCGTCGCCGATCACGTCCCTGAGGGCACGGCGGTGCTCAGCCCACGCAGGGCATTCCCCTACTGTGTCTTCCACCGTGTCCTCAGAGCGGTCCTCGCAGTAATGACACCCGGGCGTTTCCAATCGCAATGACAGCGAGCCCAATCTGGTTTATGGTTAACGTGGAAACTGATATCCATCTTTTACAACGGCGGGTTTAATCAATGACGTTGAAACAAAGGCGTACCCAATGTCACTTAGAAATGATTGAAGCACCACAATATCAGTGGTATATTTATGTGTGTGTGTGTGTACGTGCAACACCATAATGTATTACATGTAATGACGGGCCATGTCACGCGACAGATGTCCTTCGTGTCAATGTGTGTGTGTCCTGCGTGTAAGTCTATAGTAGACAGGTGCCACAGTCGTTGTTTCAAGAGACTGTACCCGCGTTTTCTTCAAGGTCCTGGGTATAATGCCAAATGTTGTTCTTCAAAAAACTAAGACCGACTTAGTTTATTACCTTTTATGAATCACAATTGTTTCTGAGGGTCTCAAAGTATGACTATGATAACCAGATGTGGAACTTACAATAGTAGTATTGAAGATAAAGAACAGTGTTCTGTATACTGAAGTTTCTTTGTGATATTTTTTATCTTTTCTGAAACAGATTTATTACGTCAACATTATTACACACTGCATCTCTTTATTATATGTAGATATAAATAAAAACGAATCATTGAAATGTTTGTACGCGCATACCGCCCGAACTGCTAACTGAATTAGACAATTGTTTTTTATAATGTTCGTTGTTGTCTGGGCATTATTTACATGAAAGAAAAAAATACTTTTTGAATGTGATTGTGAATTGGGAACATCGGAACATTACAGTACATTTATGTTAGTCTATATAGTATGTATCTATTTGGCCATAGTTGCCTGAAAATAAAGTTAAAATAAAAAAACAAACAGTAAACATTTTAATATAATAATATTTTATAGTTATAAGTTGTAATAAAATTGCTATAGGTACCAACCGCTTGAATATGATTTAATATAACTTAAATCTATTATTTAAACTCCTAAAAGTGGTTTTTATAGGTATTACGAAATACCTACATAATTTTATTGTTAACGGTTTAGGTGGAATTATTATGAAACCACATAAAATACATTTCTCGATAAATACTATGGACCCTACTCTACAATAAAATACATAATATTAAGTACATATTTAAAGCCAAGGATACCCTAGAGTACAAATGTCTTGCGACACGAGTCGCCAGCGACGTCGGGTGAAGTAGCGCGACGTTGCTGGACTTATATCGACATGTCTGGCAACACCAACGTCACTGTGACAACGCGCAACTTATGTTAGTTGCGCCGTTGTCACCGTATAATAATATGTCAGGTGACATCGGCCGGCTTCGCTCAACATGTCGCCGATCGATACATGTCTTGGGATATTTGTCCCCTAGTGTATCCTAGGCTTAAAATTACGACACGCCATCTACGTCATCACGCATATAATTCCTTATTACCCACACATGAAGATGAAGCAATATACAATTATGAATTTAAATTTATTTAATCCACAATCACTGAATATTTTTTGATAGAAATTTAAAGATTTAGGATTAATATCGATAATTAATTTCAGCCGTTAAAGGGTCAGCTTTATCGAAGATAATGCTGTTCTATGACACCCACGAGAAGGATGAGGCTAGCAACAAATCCCTATCACACTTCATAGTAAAAAACAAAGTCGCTATCCGCCGTCTGTCTTTCCCTATGTATGCTTAGATCTTTAAAACTACGCAATTGATTTTGATACGGTTTTTTTTAATAGATAGAATGATTCTTAACATGTTAACCGCTGCGTAGGTCATCGGTGACCTACGTTA